TTGGGAGGGGATGTGTCTTAAACTTCTCCCACTACAGGTAAATAAACTTGGTTTAGGTTGGTGAAATTAAGAATCTGATATACACAGTTTACTCACAGAACCGTGATAACTTCCACCATGTCTTCTGCTTCAATGGCTGATGTGACAGTGTGTTGCTGGCCTGCTTAATTGTCTTGCATTTGCCCCTATGTCTGTCCATTCATTCATTACTTAATACGCATGGAGCAATATGCAAAGCTCTTGGGTATAGAAGAATATAGGCAAAGTTCCTGATTCATGGAGTTGGCATATTAATTGGGGAAGATAGAAAAGAAATAAATAATACAATCTTAAGTAGTGACAAGTACCAGTACTAGTTGTTGTGCTGATTGCAACTTGTGATGACTCTTGGTGCATCAGAGTGGAACTGTGATCTATAGGGGTTTTGATGGATGATTTTTTTTTTTTTAAGTGGATTGCCAGGCCTTTCTTCTGAGGTGTTTCTGTTAGACTAGAATTTCCAGCTTTTCAGTTAGCGGTTGAGTGTGTTGATATTTGGCACCACACAAGCATTCTGAAGGAAAAATAAAGTAGGCTAGACAGTTAGAAACTGATTGGTCAGAAGTCAATTGAGCAGATTTAAAGGACTAGCTATATAAGTGTTATGAGTCCCGGTACAGCACTGATTGTTGATGCTCTGAACTACAAAGTTGGCAGTTCAAGCTCACCAGCCACTCCTAGGGAACCCTATATAGAGTCCCTATGAGTGGGAACAAATTCAATGGCACTTAACAATAACGTCACACAGAGTACTCCAAGCAGAGGAAACAAAGGCCAAAGGGACTGAATCAGAGTATGCTTAGTAAGTGCTCCTCTGGACTTCTCTTTAAGAGGCCCTGATTTAGATGCCTCACAAGTATTATCAGAAAGACAGGCAGTTCAAATCTATAAACTTAATCTATCATCTTGTCCACAGGAGAAAGGTGTGGCAGTCTGCTTCTGGAAAGATTTAAAGCTTTGGAAACCCAATGGGGCAGCTCTACTCTGTCTGTACAGGGTGTCATGAGTGGGGCATCGCACTGCATATGAGACAACCAGTCTCTTGGGAGGAGCTGGAGTAGGACTTACTTTTCAAATCAGATCCTTTGCAATATTTCCTAGAGACCTAGATATTTAGTTAGGCTTGGAGCCCTGGTGGCATTGTGGGTTAATTGATGGGTTGCTAACTGAAAGGCTGCTTTAAATCCACCTCTCTGTGGGAGAAAGATGAGACAGTCTGCTTCTGTAAATATTTGTTGTTATTGTTAAGAGCTGTAAAGTCAGTTCCGACTCATAATGACCCTGAACGGGTTTCCAAGGAGTGGCTTGTGGGTTTGGATCACTGACCTTGTGGTTAGTGGTCCAGTGCTTATTCTACAACATCACACCAGGAATCCTGTGAAGATTTACAGCCTTGGGAACCATATGGAGTTGTTCTACTCTGTCCTACACGGTCACTATGGGTTGAAATGGACTTGATGGTAGAAGGTTTTTGCTTTTTAATGATTGGTCTGACGGTGTGTAAGCAGCAGGGTTAGGCAACTGGAGGAAGAGGAAATATAAAACATGTCTTTGGGGGCTGAATACCTATTATGGGTACTTATGATAAAACATTCATCTGAATGGCTTTTGCCACTAAGCAGTATTAAACATCTGTATTGTGATAAGGGACCTTTAGTTAATGTGCTTTCATTTGATCCCCAAATAACTTAGTCTTTTTAACACATGGATAACTAACTATATTCTCTCTCCTGACATGCGGTGTGTACCTGAGAAGGTAGAGACAAGCTTCCCATAGCAGACAAATTTCCTCAAAAAGATGGGATCTTTATAAATACATGATAAACCTAACTGAAAACACACAAATACACAAACGAGATGACTGGAACCTGCTAAAAATTAGAAACATATGTATATGAAATTATTTCACCATAAGACTAGAAAGAGAACCCACAGTCTGGGAAAATTTTTTTCAATGACATATTAGACAAGAAGCTAACCTCTAAAATTTCTAGAAAACTTGAACACTTCAACACAAAAAAGGCAAATAATCCAATTAAAAAATGGACAGAGGACATGCACACAGAGTTTACTAAAGAAGACATCCAGGCAGCCAACAAACATATGAAGAAATGCTCATAGTCATTAATCATTGTTGTTGTTAAGTGCCTCTAAGTACTTTCTGACTCCTCGTGACCCTTTATAGGGCTTCTCAGGAGTTACTGGTGAGTTTGAACCACCAACTTTGTAGTTCAAGCCAATCTTTTGGTCCAGTGCTTAACCTACAGTACCACACCACAACAAAGATGCAAATCAAAATAGCAGTGAGCTATCATCTCCCCCCAGGATTAATAGCAAAGATTAAAAAAACAAACAAACAGAAAACAGCAAATGCTGGTGAGGGTGCAAAGATGCTGGAACCCTCATACACTGCTGGAGGGAATATAAAATCACGCAGCTACTGTAGAAAATGGTATAGTGTAATCACTCTACTATGTATATACCCTAGATAAATAAGAGTCACAACATAAATAGATATATGCACACCCCTGTTCATCACAACACTATTCACAATAGCTTAAAGATGGAAACAACCTAAATGCCCATTGATGGGAGAATGGATAAATAAACTTTGGTACATACCTACAATGGAATACTACACTACACTAAAGAATAACAAGGGATCTGTGAAGTACTTCATGGTATGGAGGACTTGGAGAACATTATACTGAATGAAATTGGTCAATCACAAAAGGATAACTATTGTATGAGATCACTACTGTAAAAAGTCAAGAAAAGGTTTTCACGGTAAAAGAAACTCATCGCCTAGAGGGTAAACACATGTTAACTTGGGTGAAGGGGGAGACCAAGTAGAAGGAGGATGGCCCAAAAAAATAAAACAGTGATGTAAGCAGGGGAAGACATATGGAAGAGTTTAAGAGTTAAAAGCAACAGAGGAAACTACTGTTATATTCAGAATCCTACTATAACTGTTGGAGTTCTGGTGTGGTACTATAGGATAAGCACTCAACTGCAAGTTCGGTTTGTGGTTCAAACTCACCAGCCGTTCCTCAGAAACCCTATTGTTGTTGTTGTTGTTGTTAAGTGCCATCTAGTCGTTTCCGACCCATAGCGACCCTGTACAGGGTTTCCGAGGCTGTAAATCTTTACGGGAGTAGAAAGCCTCATCTTTCTTCCGCGGAGCAGCTGGTAGTTTCGAACTGCTGGCCTTAAGGTTTGCAGCCCGATTCGTAACCACTACGCTACCAGAGCTCCTTAGAAACCCTATAGAAGGTCCTTATGAGTTGGAACCGACTCAACAGCACTTCACAGCAACAACAGCATGGGTAGATACATGGACAGACACACAGGCAGGATAGGTGTTTAAGAGAGAGTGGGTGTATACTCACAAATATATATAGATTTGATAGAGGACATTTGTACATGCTGCAAATACATTCATGAATATGAAAGAGCATGTAGGGACAACATTGAAAACTTGTTATTGTTGTTAGGTGTCATTGATTCACTTCTGACTCACAGTGGCCCTACACACAGCAGTGCAGAACATTGCCCAGTCCTGTGCCATCATCACAGCTGTTATATTTGAGGCTATTGTTGCTATCACTTTGTCAATCCATCTCAGTGGGCATTTTTGCTGACCTTCTATTTCATCAAGCAGGATGTCCTTCTCTAGAGACAAGCCCCTCTGGATAACATGTCTGAAGTATGAGAGACAAACTCTCATTATCCTGGCTTCTAGGGAGCATTCTGGTTGTACTTTTTTCAAGACAAATTTGTTTGTTCTTCTGGAAGTTCATGGTACTTTTAATATTCTTCTCCAACACTATAATTCAAACTTCTTAAACATACCTAGATTCATTAAGGAAATGAGTCACTGGGCCTGGAGTCTCAGAACTATATAACTATAGTCTCTGGGGACATGATGATCAATTGGCATAATGTAGTCCACAAACACAATGTTCTACATGGCACTCTGGTGAGTAGTGACTGAGATCTTAAAAACACATGAGCAACTATCAAGGTGCAACTATTGACTTCTCTCTGTGTGGAGTAAAGAAGAGTGATGAAAACTGAAGATGTTTGGAAACAATTTGTCCAATGGATTAATGAACCCTGTAAGCATTAGTCTTCACAACTCAAAGACCAGAAGAAAGAGATGTTAAGTGCCATCGAGTCAGTTCTGACTCATAGTGACCCTGAATATGGTTTCCAAGGAGCAACTGATGCGTTTGAACCATTGACATTGCAATTCAAACTGACCTTGTGGTCGAAATGCTTATTCTACAGCTCCACACCAGGACTATGGTAGAAGAAAATGTGGACCACAACTCAAAGTCGTAAAAAAGATCAGACATACTCCTTAAATAGACATTTGGGGGAACCCCAAGACTATGGCCTTTGGCCACTTTTCAGGTCTGGAACTGAACTCACCGTAGTGGTTTCATTTTTAGCCAGGCAATAGGTAAGTCTATAGGGGGAACACAACACTAGTGAGGCATGCACACCACAGAATGGTCAACCATTTGTGACCAAAGGGGCAGCATTTACCCAAGGACAAAATTCAGAAGGGTTTGGAAAGAAGGGAGAATGGAAACAAAAAACATTAAGGAGGAAGTGGGATACAAGATGTTACGTTGAGGGGATTGCAATTAGTGAGATGACATGAAGTGTACATGATTTGTTGATGTAAAATGGATGATCTGTTCTGCAAACCTTCACCCAATTTACAATAAAAATTTAGAAAGAAAGTAAGGGGCCTATCACCAGAATATGAGCTTGACCAGAAAGGGGGCTGACAGAAGAATAGGGGAGGGTGGATTGCAAGGTAATACGAGGACTGAAAATGCTCTTCCACCAAGTGATGTCCAGAAAAAAAATTAAATACTGGGTTTAAAGGGATTGTCCTAATTTGTAATTCTTATGGAGTGATAATTTTTAAAAATTTGCTTCTGAATTAGTATCTGGATAGCTATCCTGTCATACAAATTAATACACCAAATGCTGGAGTATGCAAATCTGGATCCTGGGGGACTCTTGGCGACTGAAATTTACAATTCCAAACCTCAAGGGGATTGATTCTATGTCCTCACACCTACAAATTAAAATCAAACTAAGAAACACAACCTAAAGATGTTGCTATGCCTGGCTCTGCCATTTTAGTTTCTAATTAGCTTTATCTATCTCTACCATAACCCTGGTGTGGTCCTGTGGAATAAAGCACTGGACTGCAAGGCCAGTTTGAACCACAAGGTTGATGGTTCAAATGCTCCAGCCGCTCCTGTGAGTCAGACCTGGCTTACCACCACCAACAACAATGCATCTGTCATGGGGCAGTATTAGAATTCTCACCTTCCATATGGAAGACCAGATTTCTGATTCCAGCCAATGTGCCATGCAGTCTAATTCCAGACAGTCACCACTCATCTATCAGAGGAGGATTGCATGTCACTATGATGCTGAACAGTTTTAAGCAGTGATTCCAAACTAAGATGAACTAGAAAAGGAAGAACTGCTGCCCTACTTACCAAAATCAACCAGTGAAAACCCTGTGGATCACAATAGTCTGATCAGCAACTGATGGTGTGGGACTGGGAAACATTTCATTCAATTACATATGAGGTTACCATGAGTTGAAGTCAACTCACCAACAACTAATAATAACAACTTTAGCCACTAACCAATTATGCAAATTCAGGAAACCACTTAGCCTATTTCTCAGTTCTCCCATCATATGGAGGGTTTATGAGGGATACATGCCATCAGGTCTGTGAAAGCACTTAGAAAATTTTAAAGTTTTAAATTAAAGTGAAAGTATTAAATGTCCAACAGACGTGCATTCTAGTCATTGGACTTGGAGGGCTAATGAAGTTTGAAGCCAAGTCGTCATGGGAGCCATCCAGAGAAGATGACAAGCAGTATTTACATGGTGCATTCAAACATTCTTGTGTCTTATCCCTCTGGTTATGCAAGACAGAAAAGGATTGACAAGGACACTGCAAAGGCCTCAGGAAGAGAAGCCCCTCTTTTCAGAAAAAATGGTCAGAATACTCTTCTGGTTGCCTTGTCTCAGGGCTCTGTGAAAAGTTAGAATCTGTCTGTGAGGTCAGACAGCAAGTCTTGCCAGGCATCTGAGGTCCGCCACCCCTCCATCATTGTCAATAAGCAAGATGGAAAGACCTGTACATCATTTCATTTACTATTGCAATGATTACATAGCTCATTGCCTTCCCATTGTTTCAGTGATAGATTTAATTAACTTCCAATTAATCATAGAGGGTGATATTTAATGCTCAGCCCAGCACTGAGCACAGTGTCACAGACCAAAGAATATATTCTGAAGGCTTCAGTAATCAAGAGGTCATGGAAGATAGATGTTCTTCAATGAAGGAGAGGGAAGGAAGATAAATCTGTGTGTCCAGACCACTCTGGCTAACTGTTTTAGGATAATTGTTTTGCATCCAAATGATAACTTTCCATAAGGCCCAACCATGCACAGAACAGGAGAGATAGATGGAGGGAGAAAGAGATAATAGGGTTACAATATGGAGAATTCGCTTGGCTGTAATTCCCATCTGATGCCAACCAGAATGAGCTCACCAGGGAATTCTGCTTGGATCTGCAAGAGTGTAAGTGCTATAGAGTCTAGCTTAAGACCTTATACTGAATATGTACTCAGTAAATCTTAGTTCAATGAATGAGGAAGGAGGCTTGGGGCTCTTGGCTAGGCAGTATTTTTGTTTTTTGACCATCACACAGAGACACTGACATTTTTGTCATAATATTGTAACACATCGTTCTGACAAGGTTTGTGAATCTGAGTAATGTAAATCCCTATTCCCTAGGCCCAGCATTAGGGTTGGTGTTATTGTTGTTAAGTTCTGTCAAGTCAGTTCTGACTCATAGCAGCCCTGTATAGGGTTTCCGAGAAGCAGCTGGTGGGTTTGAACTGCTGACCTTGTAGTTAGCAGTCCAGTGCTTATCCTATAGCAGTGCACCAGGATTCCAGAAGTAGGATAGTGAGGCCCTAACAGCATAGGAGCCATGAAACAGAAGGTCCCTGGGCTACCTACCACCCAAGTACTAGAATGTTTCTAATGAAATTTATTAGAACGTTGGAAGAAAAGATAGTTGCCCGAACAGTCTGAGAAACTCAATGATTCATAGAACACAGAACCATGCTTCAGGAATTGAGTTATACTCCTCAGATTTACATTTACATGTGGGCAATGGTATTGTAAAGGAGCTCTGGTCGCGTAGTGGTTACGAATCAGGCTGTGAACCTTAAGATCAGCAGTTCGAAAGTACCAGCTGCTCCATGGGATAAAGATGAGTTTTCTCCCGTAAAGATTTATAACCTCTGAAAACCTCTACAGGGTTGCTATGGGTCGGAACCGACTCGACGGCACTTAACAACAACAACAACAATGGTATTGTAAGGAGTTCTGGTAGCATAGTGGTTATGAATCAGGCTGCGAACAGCAACGTCAGCAGTTTGAAACTACCAGCTGCTCCATGGAAGAAAAATGAGGCTTTCTGCTCCCATAAAAATTTACAGCCTCAGAAACTCTGTACAGGGTTGCTATGAGTCGGAACCGACTACACAGCACATAACAACAACATTCATTTGTTCATGATACTTACAATTGTGTGCTTGTTGTTGTTGTTAAGTACCTTCGAGTAGAGTCGGTTCCAACTCATAGTGACCCTGTACAGGGTTTCCGAGGCTGTAAAACAGAACGCCTCATCTTTCTCCGGCGGAACTTCTGGTAGTTTCGAACTGCCGACCTTGAGGTTAGCAGCCTGATTCGTAACCACTAAGCTCCAGAGCTTCTTACAATTGTGTGCTCGCCACTGTTATACCAATAGTTTCTACATCATTTCAAACAATGTACGGATCAGTAAAATCTTAGAGATAAAAGAAAGTACTCCTACGGAACCATGAAATAATTATTAACAGGAATTAACCTGAATTGACATAACTTTTGAAAACATATGGCTTCCATCATAGTGGATATTATTGGAGTCAATAAGCCTCTTCATAGATAAAAAAAGTTTTTTGAATATATGTATCTTTTGTGGGAGAATTGTCCCACAATTCTTAAGACCTTAAGACCTCTTAAAGGCATCTTATGGCATCAGAAAAGTAAAGAACTTTTATTCCAAAGAAGTACACAAATATTTGTGCTAATTCACATAAAATAAGGAACTATGAGCCAATTCTGTCGATTTGTTATCCCTTATTCTCAGAATAGTAAAATGTGACATTAGTTCTGTCATCTATAACAAATTTATTTAGATAATTGTTCCTTCAATTAACTATTTAGAAAATAATTTTAGATTAAGGTACACATAGCCCAGGCTTTGGGGGTACTGTTCTCTGTAAATCTCAGGAGAGCTGTATCTGACAAATAGCACAGGTAATGGATGATAACTGTATTCTGTGTTGTTGGAATGTGTGTATGTGTGTGTGTGTGTGTGTGCGTGCACACATAAAAAGACACAGAGCTCTGGGAATAACTTGAGAGAGAAAGAAGAATATATGAGGAGGTCAACCCCATTCACTTTACTGCACACACCCTGAATCAAATACAGAATGAGAGGCACATGCCTTGTTTTATGATGGTGATACCCCTCGCAGTGAACAAATTGGAGATGGAACAAGAATGAACTCTTGTATCATCTACCTGCCCTTTCAGTCAAGAGGTTGACATCTGAGCAAGGCCATGAGATTACAGTCATGACCCAGTGTAAAAGAATGAGAGACATTTGCCACTCTTGTTTCAATTCTGGTTATAAAAATGCATTAAGCTTGGCATGAGTTTCTGTTCTTGTTGAAAGTATCATCATAGGAAAGCAGAATCAGGAGAAAACCCAGGGGATTCCCTAAGATATATCAGAACATATATCTGTTTGTTCCCTACCACTAAGGACATGAGTGATTTCTCCCTTTGATCTCAGGAGGCCACTATCAAACCCACTGCCATTGAGTCCATTTCTACTCATAGTGGCCTTATAGGGCACAGCAGAACTGTCCTACCGGGTTTCCAAGGCTGTAAATCCTTAAGGAAGCAGACTGCTCCAACTTTCTCCATGGAGCAGCTGGTGGGTTCAAACTGCCAGGCTTTCACTTAGCAAGTGAGTTTTTTGACCACTGTGCCACCAAGGCTCATTTCTAGTGGGATACAAATAGAATACATGCATTCAAGCAATAAATATAAAAACAAGATTCCCTTTCAGGATAAGCCCTGGGATGCAAGCTGTGTGAATATATTCCAATCACTGTCACTTAGGCAATTCTACCCATGGAAAAAACAGCAAAAACATACCATAACATATCAACTAATTTACGAGGAATAAATCAAATGTACTGAGTTGGCTTACAATTTTGCAAGCACTTTTCTAAGCATTTCTTTGCTCCCTTTAAAGACAGTGCTCCTTTTTAAACTGCTACTGTCCTGTGGTTTATACCTTTTCAGAAATCACTCTCCCCAATTTCTTCTTCCTATCAAATTCTGTCCCATTTCCTTAACCAGCTGCTACCAAGCCAATTATGACTCATGATGATCATATGTATATCTGTGTTCCATAGGGTTTTCAATGGCTGATTTTTCAGAAATAGACCACCAGGATTTTCTTCTGAGTCTCTTCTATGTGGATTTGAACAATCAGCATTTTGGTTAGCTGTCAAGTGCATTAAGCATTTGAACCACTCAAAACTTCTCATTTCCTTTGGATCCTGGAATCTGCTTGAATTCTGATAACTTATTACCTATGAATGACAAAATTACATATTTATGCTAATGATTGAATATCTAAACATTTAAAAATTTTGGCAGAGTTTATTTTTCAGGAAAATCCTGTCTTTGTTCAAATGAATAAATACTAAGAGTAAAGAGCCCTGGTGTGGCACTGTAGGCTAAGAAGTGGATTGGTAACCCCAAGGTTGTCAGTTCATACTCACCAGCCACTCTCAGAAATCCCATTCAGGGTCACTATGAGTCAGAACTGATTTTATAGCACACAATAATGGTAATAAACTTCAGTTTGTCTGTAGGAATGAGATATTTAGGATGGGA